CAGAGGAGATTTACCAGGATGTTGCCTGGTATGGAGGGAAGGTCTTACGAGGAAAGGCTGAGGGTCTTGAGGCTGTTTTCGTTAGAGAGAAGAAGGGTAAGAGGTGACTTGATAGAGACATACAAGATGATCAGAGGATTAGATAGGGTGGACAGTGGGAGCCTTTTTCCTCGGATGATGATGGCTAGCACGAGGGGACATTGCTTTAAATTGAGGGGTGATAGATATAGGACAGATGTCAGAGGTAGGTTCTTTACTCAGAGAGTAGTAAGTGCGTGGAATGCCCTGCCTGCAAAAATAGTAGACTCGCCCACTTTAAGGGCATTTAAATGGTCATTGGATAAACATATGGATGATAATGGAATAGTTTAGGTTAGATGGGCTTCAGATAGGTTTCACAGGTCGGCGCAACATCGAGGGCCGAAGGGCCTGTACTGCGCTGTAATGTTCTATGTTCTATGTTCTATGTTCTAAACAGGAGGCAAAGGGTGATGGTGGAGGAGGGATGATTTTGTAATTGGAAACCTGTGACCAGCGGTGTGCCACAAGGATCATTGGTGGGACCCTTGCTGTTTGTTATATACATTAACGCTTTGGATGTGAATGTAGAAGCTTTAATTGGTTAGTTTGCAGATGACACAAATTGGTAGTGGTATTCATACTGAGGAGGATGGTCTCAGGCTACAGTCTGATATTGATCAGCTGGTAAGTTGGTCAGAGCAATGGCAGATGGAATTTAATCGCGATAAGTGTGAGGTGATGTATTTTGAAAGGTCCAATAAGGGAAGGATTTAAAAAGTGAATCGTAGGTCCCTGGAGAACGCTGAGAAATAAAGGGACCTTGGTCTAGAAGTCTATTGATCACTGAAGATGTTAGCACAGGTGGACAGGATGTAAAGAAGGCATATGGGATGCTTGCCTTCATTAGCCAAGGCATGGAATATAGGAGTAAGGAACTTTTGCTATAACCAATGCTCTTCATAGGATACACAGAACAGTCCCTCTGCCACAGTTACACCGGCACCATCCCCCACCTCTTTCCCCACTACATTGATGACTGTATCAGCGCTGCTGACTTGAACAGTTCATCAGCTTTACTAACACCTTTCACCCCAACCTCAAATTCATCTGAACCATTTCCAACACCTCCCTCCCCTTCCTGGACCTCTCTGTCTCTATCTCCGGTAACCGTCTCAACACCGACATCTATTTCAAACCCACAGACTCCCATAGCCACCTAGACTACACCTCCTCTCATCCACCTTCCTGCAAGAATGTAATCCCTTATTCCCAATTCCTCCGCCTCCGCCGTATCTGCTCCCAAGATGGAGCATTCCACTCCCGAACATCCCAGATATCCTCCTACTTCAAGGACCATAACCTCCCCCCTTCAGTGATTCATTGTGCCCTCAACTGCATCTCTTGCATTTCCTGCACTTCTGCCCTCAAACCTCGTCCCACCAACAAAAACAAAGACAGAATCCCCCTTGTCCTCACGTACCACCCCACTAACCTCCGCATCCAACGTATCATTCTCTGCCACTTCCGCTCACCTATAGTCCAACCCCACAACCAAACATATATTTCCCTCCCCAACCCTATCTGCCTTCCGTAGGGACCGCTTGCTCCACGACGTCCTCGTCTGCTCCACACTCCCCACCACCCCCGGCACCTTTCCCTGCAACCGCAGGAAGTGCTACACCTGCCCCTACACCTCCCCCCTCACCCCCATCCCAGGCACCAAACAATCATTCCAAATCTGAGAGGGATTCACCTGCACATCCTCCAATCTGGTCTACTGTATCCGTTGCTCCCGATGTGGCCTCCTCTACATCGGTGAGACCAAGCATAGACTTGGTGACCGATTCACGGAGCATTTGCGCTCTGCACAATATAATCAACAATACCTTCCAGTCGCCAACCATTTTAACTTCCCCTTCCACTCCCTGGGTGACATGTTCATCCTGGGCCTCCTCCAGTGTCACAATGACGCCACCCGCAAACTGGAGGAGGAGCACCTTATATTCCACCTCGGGAGCCTACAGCCCAATGGCCTAAACGTGGATTTTACTAGTTTCAAAATCTTGCGACCCCTGGCTTCATCCCATGACCCTCTCATCCCCCGCCTCCTTGACCTGACACAACTTGTCCATCTTCTTCCTCACCTATCCACCCCACCCTTCCCACTGACCAATCCCCACTACCCCAAACCTGCATCTGCCTATTGCCATCCCAACTACCTTCTCCCAGCCCCATACCCACTATTTATTTCCGAGCTCCCTTCCCCCTTCCCAGTCCTGATGAAGGGTGTAAACTCAAAACATCGACTTTCCTGCTCCCCTGATGCTGCCTGACCTGCTGTGTTCCTCCAGCTCCACACTGTATTGAGATGGAATAACATGACCAGTTCTGGTTGCCACACTATCAGAGGGGTATGTTTGCACTGGAGAGGTTGTACAGGGGATTCAGCAGGCTATTGCTGGGGATGGAAAGTCTCAGTTATGAGGACAGACTAAACAGGCTGGGTTTGTGTTCCCTGAAGCAGAGGAGGTTGAGGAGGATCTGATTGAGGTATACCAAATGATGAGAGGTATCGACAGGGTAGATAGTGAGAATCTCTTCCCCATGGCAGATGTGTCTAAGACCAGAGGGTGTCAGTTTAGGGTGAGGGTCAAGTGGTTTAGAGGAGATTGGAGAGAGATTATTTTTCACCCAGAGGGTGGTAAAAATATGGGGCATGCTGCCTGACAGGGTGGTGGAGACAGATGCTCTCACAATATTTTAAGAAGCATCTGGATGAGCACTTAGAATGCCAGGGCATAGTAGGCTATGGGCCAGGTAAATAGGATTAGCGTAGTGTAGTGTTTGATAATCGGCATTGGCATGATGGGTTGAAGGGCCTGGTTCTGTGCTGTATAACTCTATGAATATGACAACATGAATTATTAAAAGTCACCCTCCTCATCCCATCTGTATTAGACCTCCCTTAGCCCCCCTCTGCACCTGTCTGAAAATTCTCTGTGTAGTCTACCCTCCAATGTACAATCACGCCATATATTACACCTTCTATGTAATGTGAATGAGCTCATTTTACTCAGTAATCTGTATGTGCCTTGCCTTACTATATAATATTACCTTTTAATGGCAACAATCTTGTTTCTGCATCTTCCTTTGTAAACTTTCCCAAACGAACCTGTATGTTTTCAGAGAGATGACAGGTGGTCAGTCTGTGTTTTAAACTGAATTCACTGTTTGACATTTTGCACCTCAATCGAATAGGGAACAGTAATGTTGTTACCTGATCCAATAATTTCATGGAACTCGATGTCTGACAGCTGGAGGTGGAAATGAGACGGAAGCTCAGCTCGCAGGAGCAGCACATCCGCTTTCTCTGAACAACAGGGTGGAGTGGAAAGAAAGAGACTCAGTGGTCAAGGATGTGTCAAGAATTTGTTAACAACTTGCATTTATATAGCACCTGTGACATAATAAAAACATCCCATGGCTTTTCACAGGAATATCATTGAATAGAATTTGACACCGAGCCACTTCAGGAGCAATGAGGACAGGTGATGATGAGGATGCGTGGTCAATGAAGCTGTATTTTTTGTGGAAGTGAGAGAAAGGTGAGAGACGGAGAGTTTTAAGGAGGGAATTCCAGAGCTTATAGTCCAGGGAGCTGAAGGCAATTGATGCAGAGATGCAGCAAGAGAAATCAGGAGGTGGCCAAGAAACCAGAATGCAGTGAGCATAGGGGAGGCAATGGCCTAGTGGTATTATCGCTGGCCTGTTAATCCAGAGACCCAGAAAACGTTCTGAGGTCCCAGGTTTGAATCCCACCACGGGAGATGGTGGAATTTGAATTCAATAAATATCAGGAATTAAGAATCTAATGATGACTGTGAATCCATTGTCAATTGTTGGGAAAACCCATCTGGTTCACTCATGTCCTTCAGGGAAGGAAACTGCCATCCTTACCTGATCTGGTCTACATGTGACTCCTGACCCACAGCAATGTGGTTGACTTTGAACTGCCCTCTGGGCAATTAGGATAGGCAATAAATGCTGCTTAGTCAGAGATGTCCTCATCCTGTGAATGATTAAAGGAAACATAAAGGTATCCCACTGGATTTTAGGGCTTGGAGGGGATTAGAGATAGGAAAAGGACCATTTCTTCAAAATGTCTGAACTGGCATAACACAAAGCAAAATACACGCTGGAAATAGTTCAGAAGATCAGTCATATTGGAGTTGGAATATTAACTCTGTTTTTAAGACCATAATACCATAAGAACCATAAGACATAGAATTAAAAGTGATCGTTCAGCCCATCAAGTCTACTCTACCATTCATCAAGATCATGACTGATCTGATAACTCTTATCTCCACCTTCCTGCCTTTTCCCCATAACCCTTGATCCCCCCCTTACTGATTAAAGATCTGTCTATCTCACATTTGAACACTGCCCAGCCTGCTGAGTTTCTCCAGTACTTTAAGTTCTAGATCTGAGCTGGTGCTCATTTCCAAGCTGGGCTATCTAATCACATTAACCTGTGTGAACAGACATACTGTGGACAAAATATAGAGGACAATTCACACATCTCAGAGTAATGATACTCAGGGTAGCTCCATGTACAGATTCAGTATTTCTTTCCTGTTTAGTTACTGCTTTTGTCTTTGCCTTCTCTTAAAGATGAAGTTACGTTTCTGACAGTCAATTTTAATTGTCCCTGTGTGAGACAATGTGTACATTCATACTGTTCAACAGCACAGGGCATCACAAAGAGACCAAATGACCTGATGGTACATTACAGCAAATATCAATGGGCAATCAATTGGACTGAGAATCCTGGTTGTAATTGTCCCTGTAATAACTCAGAGAGGCCGGCTGGAAAGGAGCAACATTTATTGTTGAACACCAATGAGGCACCCCTACTTGTGGTGTACATAGGCTGCTCCCAGCCCAGGACAAACAATGCTACAGACCCATCCCTGAGTATGCGTTTTTTAAAAACATGTAACCAATTTTTCCAAATCATCTGTTCAGAGATGTTATTACACACCTCTGGAGCAGGTAGGCCTTGAACCTAGGCCTCCTGGTCTGGGGTAGGAGCACTAGCACTGCACCACAAGAGGGCCAGGCTCAGTTGATGAGTCAGCAGGGCAGGCCATTGCTTGTTACCATGGGAACTCAGACTCAACAATTTCCTCCGGAAGATTAACTAGTAATTCCCCATGGGCCTATTTGAGGATATTACCTCACCCACCCCCTTCCCTCACATGGAGAAGTTACTAAATCAAACACTGACCCCACCTTATTCCAACCCTGGCTTTGACCTTGGGACCCTCCAGCTGAGTCAATGGGTGCTGTTTACTGGCGATTGTCTCATTTATGCAGGAACAACTACTCTGTTATCAGTGTGAGTCTTATTTCTGAATCATCTTTCCCTTTGTAATTAATGAATGGAGTCTTTATTCATTCATTCACAGGTAATGATGGCAGATTTCCTTCCCAAAAGGACATCAGTGAACCCAATGGGTTTCTCCCCTAACGATTAGCATCATTAAACTCATATTTCCATAGTTTTACTGAGTTCAAATTCCACCAGTTACCAGGGCAGGATTTTTATTTGGGTCCCAGGAACATTACCTGGGTGTCTGGTTTAATAATCTAGCCATGATATCACATGGCCATCATTTGCCCTTGGTTGAGTGAAAATGATGGACACAATTTACTTTGACATGAGATCCTGCCAGTGAGCCTTTACGTTTTATGTGATGAGATCTCAATCCAATATGCACCTTCTCACCTTTGGTCATACTTTTGATCTTCCCAAGTGGTGATGGAACTGATACGTAGGCACCATCTGAAGAGAAGGAAGGGTGGCTTAAAATTAATAAGTTTATTAATAATAAAATTAATATAACTTTTGAAGCTACTGCCTGCACAATTATGATGAGGATGTCTTAAAGTTACAGAAAAAAATAGCATTTATACAGCACCTTTCACAGGTTCATAGATTCAAACAGCATGAATAGAAGTAATTCAGCCCATCCTGCTTCTACTAGCTTTTTGAATATGTCACTGTGAACCTGCCCTTTCCCCGTAGCCCTATAAATGTTTTTCCCTTTAAGTATTTCTCCAACTCTCCTTTGTAAGTTATTTCTGATTCAGCATCTACCACTGCCCCTTTCAGGCAGTGCATTCCAGGTCACAACACTTCACCACAAACATTCTCTCCTCCTTCTGCCCTTATCCTCTGTGGGTAGCATGTTGGCTCAGTGGTTAGCACTACTGCCTCACAGGGACCCTGGATTCAATTCCACCTGTAGGTAACCATCCATGTGAAGTTTGCACATTCTCCCTGTGTCTGGGTGCTCTGGTTTCCACCCACAGTCCAAAGATGTGCAGGTTAGGTGGATTGGCCATGAGGAAAGCAGGCTGATAGGGTAGGGCAGGGGGTGGGTCTGAGTGGGATGCTCCTCAGAAGGTTGGGATGGGCTGTACGATCTGCTTCCACGCTGTAAGGATTTTTTGAATTATCATTCCCACCTTTGGAGCAATACATGCAGTAAAGGCCCTTTTGACGAATAGTCACTGTTGAAAAGTGACAGCAAACTCTTGCAAAGAAATCAATGATCAGATATTTGCTTTATATTTATATTGTAACATTGAATCTTTTCAAGATACAATTAATATAATTCTCAGGCCTAAAGGGATCAAAGGCTCTGGGGAGAAAGCAGGAACAGAGTTGGATGATCAGCTATGATCAGATTGAATGGCAAAACAGGCTCAAAGTGCCAAATGGCCTGCTCCTGTTCCTAGTTTCTATTTGTTGGGAGGTTAAGTATTGTACTGGGACAACAGGGAGAACTTGCCTCAAAATCTCTGAGATGGGAAGTGGAATCTTTCGCTTCTCCCCAGAGCAGCCACCCACCGCACAAGCTGCTGGTTTCTGCCATGGCGGTTACCCTCATGTTCGGTTCTACCTGGTGTGTCTCGGGAGACCCATCTGATCCAGCCGGTGATCTCTACTGCACTGGCACAGCGAGAGACAGTGGGCTGACTTGGTGCAGGATTCACTGGGCCCCCTCCTTGGGCAGCTGAGCTTTTCATTCCTGCCCAATGGTCTCCCAAACAGTCAGCCTCCAGAGGTCACAGTTGTCAGCGACTGTCTCCCAGGTGTCAGTGTGTCAGTGCCCACCATCTTCATATCTCACCTTGTTGTGGGGGTAGACACCCAGGAGGTCATGACCCAGTGACTAGTTCACGATGTTGAAGATCTTTGAGTTAACGTTAAGCTAGTGTAGATGTTGTTGGCTTAGCCAATGAATGTAAACTGGTGGAATTAGTATGGTCCAGCTCATCTGCATTAGACACTTTGCTCTGCCAAGAGATGCCGAGGGCATATCTGAGACAATGAGCATGAAAACTCTGCAGCCATTTCCCCACACTAGCACACGTCATTCAGGTTTCACCGAGCCTGTGTCCCTGACCGTTCTCAGTTATCATCACCAGATCACGATTTATATCAACAAGCAAGAGACCAGAAGAAATGTGGAATGATTTCTCAGATAGAACAAGAACAAATACAAGAGAACTGTTTAGCCCATGAGGAAACACTCAGACAGAGCACTAAAGACCTCAGAATGAGACCAGAACTAATCAGGAAGATTGCTCAAAGCACCTAAAACAGTAGCTCTATGAAGTTTGAGACTTTGAGGGGAAGGTGTTCTTCATGCAGATGACATCTTGGAGGTGAAATGGAGAATTCTGCAGAGACTCTGAGCTCCAAACACTCAGAGAAGCAGCTGCATTGCTGCATGTTGGAACTTAACTACAGCCTGATGTGAGGTGACCACAAGGCATTGGAGCTAGTGCCCAGCAGGGTGCTTCGTGTGTGAGCGCCATGGTGTGTCCATGTATCAGTGGGCTTGGATGCTGTGGAGACGTCTAACTTCCTCCAGTTTCCTCTGAAACCTCAGCCTGGGAGCACAAGGGATCTGTTTCTGTGTGTCACCAGGAGGAGGCACTGCTGAGCACTTGAGATACAGAGGCTCAGATATTTGGCTCTCTTTCTGCAATGCAGCCAGCCAGGTGTTTTGGGCAGAAAATGAGAAGAAAATTAGCGAAAGCACGATAATTCTCTTCAGCTACACACCAGCCACGTTGACAGGTGTGATGTGCGGAGTCTCATAGGGGGCTGCACTGAGAGAGGTAGGGAAGTATGTTGTGAAGAAGACATAAAGACATTGCAAACTTCCAGAATCCTTAGATTTTGGAATAGCCCTAGAAGATTGGAAAACTAGCAATGTAACGCTGTTTACAAAAAGGGAGGGAGAAAATAACAGGTAACTATAAGACCATAAGATATAGGAGCAGAAGCAGGCATTGACCCCATCCGGGCTTCACCATTCACTGAGGTCATCACTGATCTGATAACCTTTAAGTCCTCTTTACTTCTTTTTCCCCTCCATAGGGCAGTCTCTAACATCTCTAATTGGGAAAAAGCTAAAGTCTATTATAAAGGATGCAATAGCAGAACATTTAGAAAAACATAATAAAATCAGGCAGAGTCAACATGGTTTCATGAAGGGGAAATCATGCCTGACTAATTTATTGCGGTTCTTTAAGGAGCTAACCAGCAGAACTGATAAAGGGGAATCAGTAATTGTAATATATTTAGATTTCCAGAATTCACTTGGTAAGGTACAATACATTTGGCTACTTAATAAGGTAAGAGCCTATGGACTGGAGACTGACTAACTAATAGAAGGCAGAGAGTTGGGGTAAGAAAGGCACCTTTAGGATGGAAACCTGCAACTAGTGGGGGTGCCACAGGGAATAGACTATATTTATAATTGTATTAATGACTCAGATGAGAAAAGTGAATGCACTATAGCCAGGTTTGGAGCTAACACAGAAATAAATGGGAAGTCAAGTGACAAGGATGGCGTAGAGTCTGCAGAGGGATACAGACAGGTTAAGTGAGAGGGCAAAAGCTTGGCAGTTGGAATATATTGTAGGAAAATGTGAGGTTATACACTTTGGTAGAGCTGAATATTACTTAAATGAGGAAGGACAGCAAAAAGCTACAGCAGAGAGGGTTATGAGGGTCCTAGTGTGCTAAAGTTTGACCTAAACCCATGATGCTCTGCGTCACAATAAGAACTACCCACTAAGTCAAAGCTACCACGTAAAAGCCTGAGTGATTTCAAATGGTGGTGTAAATGTTTTTGAGATTCCTGTTGGACATTAACTCAATAACGATTAATTCTCAATTATTGCCAAACATGATGTAAAAGCTTTAATTAGCATCAAGTTCTGATCAGCAACAATAAGATTTACCTCCACCCGGTTGGGAGTATTCATTGCAAGGTGATTCATCCTGAGGCCTTTTATAATGTTTAAGCAGTGTCACAATGGCATCATGACCTGGAAGAAGATCAGCAATAACAGTAATTGGGAACATTTCATGATGTTCTCGATATGGGTATCCATTTTTACACTGCAAGAACGACAAAAGGTTAGATTTCTAACTCAATCAGAATATCCCAAAGATTTACATTAATGAAGCATTCTGGAAATTGCATCTGGTATGGAGGGATTGTCTTATGAGTTAAACATATACTGGTTGGGACTCTGCTCACTGGAGGTTAGAAGAATGAGAGATGATCTCATTGAAACATATCGGATTCTGAAGGGGCTTGACAGGGTAAATGCTGTGAAGATGTTTCCACTCATGGGAGAGTCCAGGACCAGAGGGCATTGTCTCAGAATTACGAAGCACAAATTTAAGTTCAAGATAAGAAGGAATTTCTCACAGAGGGCTGTGAGTCTTTGCAACTTCTTGCCACAGAGAGCTGTGGGGGCAGAGTCCCTTGTGTGTATTTAAGGCTGAGAGAGATAGATGCTTGATCAGTTGAGAAATCAGGGTTATGGGGAAAGGGCAGGAAAGTGAACGTGAGGAATTGTGGATCAGCCATGATCCTATTGAATGGTGGAGCAGGCTCGAGGGGATGACTAGTCCACTCCTGTTCCTCTTACCTATGGTCTTACTGACCCTCCAAAAGTGCGGCGCTCCCTCACCGCTGACCCTCTGACAGTGCAGCACTCCCTCAGCACTGACCCTCCGACAGTGCGGCACTCCCTCAGTACTGACCCTCTGACAATGCGGCACT